AGGAGTATGACAAAGAATATGCTTTCGAAACTAGCATTGTTGAAATGTAATTTAAATTTATTATAATGCCTTTTTTTTGAATATACTATTATAAAAGAAAAGATGACCGTTATACAGACGTATTAAAAACAGAAAACAAAAAGAACGAATGGCTTTACTAGCCAACAACAGCATATTTGGTCTTTTAAATATCAGATATGATAACTTTAACACAGACCATATTATTACTTAAAAGTTCTGTGCTCTATATAGTTAGATGTATTCAGTTGAAACTGCTTTAAATATAAATTGAAGCCGATAATATATTCTATACCTAATAATGGCAACCTAATAATATAAAAATAAAAAGTACTACTAATAATAATAGATCAAAACTATAGCAAAATAATTGTATAAACTCGTTGGTATCGACCAAAACTATTTATCTGCTATAATTTTTGAAGAGTTAACGGTTTCTGTTAGTTTTTAGTTTACGGGATATTGGAATAGCCGTATATGCTCTTCTCTCTCTCTCTCTTTGCTAGGTATGCACCGGTCTCTGTATCCATACCGAAAATACTGACGTTTTTGATTTCTTTCATTTGAAATGAGATTATTTAGCGTCATGGACAGCCAGAACACAAAAAATACTCTCTGTATTCTGAGCATGTGCCGATAGAAAATAAAGGAAACGCTTATTTTAGAAACGATACAAAGCTCTTGTTTTGTATTTCTGATTCTTTCTGGGTGTCCAGGATGCTTGTTCTAGCAGTCCTGCTCGTCAAAGTTCATTAGATCTACGAATGCAGAAGTATGATTCAACTATTAATATATTGAAGTATTTCTGAGAAAAAGTACACAATTATTGAGAAGAAAGACATATGCCGCTTGTTTTAAGCTTAGAGTGAAGGTTCAAACTATTTGCAGGTTGCAGAAAATCGAGACAGAAAAGTATCGCATTTAATCGGATCCAACCGTTAGTAACATTGAAAAGGCATATCTGTTTCTTTTCGCACCATCAAATATCATCAAAAAGTGTCACATTTCACAGCTCTTGTTTAATACGAAAATATTTTTGTGTCCAATCTGACGCTATTTGATACCAATCATGTGAATTTAAATGTAAATTAATGCTATGACCTGCTTGCTGTAAAACATACGTTTCTGTCGATGATATAAAATTCTGTTGCTCGCGTTCTTGAATTATCAATGAATTATCGCACGCTAAAGTAACATTACAGAAACATTGATCATTTTGTCCAATAACAAGAAGAATTGGAATAGCTTTGGGTATCTTCAATGTAACTAATGGATTATTGGCGGCTTCACACGTACGTAATTCACCCAATGTTCCTGTTTCTTTTAATTGTTCGTCTTGTTGAACAATTCCGATGTCAGCATCGTTCATATTATAAAATAAAGTCTGCCGTGGCCAACTAGGATTTGTTGTTAAGTAACCTAGTGGTAAATTTTGTTGCCTAAGCTTTGGATCTAATTGTACGGGATACATTGATGAAATAATACCCATTCCTCCAATAGGATTATTTTTATGTAACCAGCCCGTCGATATTAAACCATTGACAAATCGATTATATCCAGAATCTGATGAAGCTGTTGTCCATGAAATTAATGTGCCTAGAGAATGACCAACAAGTATAATGTTATCGAATTTTGTATCTTGAAATTGACCATTATGTAGTTTCTCTGTCAACTGATAAACGACATCGGCATTCAAATCAATAGTGACATCGTATGCTGGAGGATGAGAACTACGGCCAATACCAATACGATCAAAATTCAGTACAACAATATTACCATTGCTCTTATTAATAACATAGTCAGTGTACGAATAAGTTGACGATTCACAGGGAAAATTCCAATATGTATGATCATATGTCAGGCCATGAATAGTTAAATGAACAATTTTATTATTGAAATTAGTTGTTCCTTCTTTATAACAGAACCATGTAGCAATTTCATATAGCTTCGTCAACTCTGATGTTGGTAACGATACACTTACATATTGTTGTTGGCAGTGGGCTTTTGCATCAACAAACTGTATGTAACTGAGTGACAGTATGCATATCCATATATTCATGATGATCCGGTCTTACGCCTGAAAAAAGAATGAATAAATCACATTTTTGCTCGCTTTCAGCAATATTGTTTCACAGAATTAGCTAACAGACAGTATTCTTTTTCTTATTTACCTTTGTAGTTTGCTTTTGTGCAACCACCACAGACATATTGTCTGCGCAGTCCACATGTGTTCTTGCTACAAAGATACGCTTTCGATGCAGTTTTGCTTGTTGAATGAATATTTTCAAGATTCGGATCAATAGGTGGAACATCTACGGATATACATTCTCTGAACGTCCAAGAATGAATGTTTTCTTCGCATATCGGTAGTACTCACAGGTGAAGTGAATCAAACTTACTCTAATAAATTGAGATTAACTTCTGATCACGTATCGAACAAAAGCATAGAAATATTTACCGAGAGAGTAATATACATATTGTTTCAGTCAAGAATCAAGGTTGATCGAAGTAAAATATTCTTCTATGCAACTGATGAAGATGGAAGTGAAAGTACTATCCATTAGAAAAAAGAAGGCCAGTCACTGTATGTCGAATAACTTTGCACTGGAAGATGCTGCAGACCCGCGGTTTTCGTTATCTGAAACTAAAATCTTGGGGCAACAAGAAAATAAGAGAAAACGTTTTTCCGAGTACTTTCAGGTGGTGTATCTTGCGTGGACATTTTGTAAGAGTTTACCGGCCACTAAAACATTTTCGGATTTTGAATTCCTAAACGTCGAAAAGATCGCCCAACTCAAGTTCTACAAGTCTAGACTAGTCCCAGCTCGCTATCTCTCGTGGTTCAAGAGTTATAAAGGTTTTCCGCGGACAAGCTTATCTTAGTCCGGACGCGGTGGAGAACCTGGAAAAGTGTTGAGACATAGGTGATCGAGTGTGCTGATTGTCGTGGCAATGTTTGTTTTGGGTTAAAATGAAAGTCGAGGTCGGTAGGAGCTTATTTCCCCAAAACTCAGTTTTTGCTTATAGACCATAGAATTTCAAATTGACGTGATTCAGTCATTTTACATTCAAACTAGCTCGAATTTTCAGGAAATACTCTAACCACGTTATTGAAACGGATTAAATCGTAGAAAGTTACAAACTTCAAGTTTTACGTGTTGAGGTTCTTTAGGAGGCTTCCAGAAAATCCCGGGATTCAAAGCTTTATGAATTAAGGGGGGGGGGGGGGGGGGGGGGGGGGGGGGGGGGGGGGGTGGGGGGGTGG